GTCAGAGTTTGTGTTATGTGTACACATCTGTCCCCACCCATCACTGTGACACAAACCCCCAACAGAGTCCAACCTTGTATTTAAAGTATCGTGTCATTACACAGTGTGAACAGTGTGAACAGTGTGAACAGAGACACACATGAGGGCCAGCTCCTCTCACCGGCAACTGTCACGACGAGTAAATGTTAGAGAAGAGACATGATGGCAAAAAAACAAAAACAAAAACAACCGGACACATACTTTAAACAAAACCTGTGTCAGAGTATCCGGTAATAGTAACACTCGCTACCTGGCAGGAATTAAAACAAACTAATAAATGTGTGTAAGTGAGCCGCAGCGTTGTCCTGTGCACATGGTAACGTTACTGGCGGTTTAACACAAACGGACGGAACTATTTAACCACTCAAACCGTTTTTAATGCGGAAATTATCAACACTATGTGAAGTGAGCCGAGTCCGTGTTAATCAGTAATAACCAGTAGTACATTTGTCGTGTCTTCGCTCGCCAGTACACCCTGCTAACCGGTTAGCACGCTACAAGCTAAGCATGTGAGACTTCAACGGGAATCCGCACTACTTTAGCTAACAGCTCGCTAGCTAGAATTAGCCCGCTAAAATTAGCACGTCACACGAACTTTAATGATAATACTTACCGCCCCGAGGCATTATTAAAAGTGAGTTTTATACAGATCGAGTCCACTGTGATACGGCTGAACGGCTGGCGGCTGTGTGAGCAAAGGCGACGGTTTAAAGTGCTCAAAGAAAAGAGAAAAGGCTAGAAAGTAGTTCGTCTCTCCCGCTGTCGGCAGCACAAACGTCGAAACACTGCGATCACTGCGCCTGCGCAGTTAGGAGCATTGGGCCAATCACTGCACTGAGCATTTTAACTGCCATGTACATCCGCCAATTAACTAAAGCGAAAACATAAATAAAATAAAATAAAATGGTCGTAGCTTTCATTGACAGGAACCCTGAATTCATTCTTAATATAAGTTATCATTATGAACTACTCAAAATCATTTTCTTGTGAGGTTTGTGCTTAAATAAAAACACTGATATTTCAAACTACATGTCACATGGGATAGAAATTATATATGATCGTTATATCTGGCAATATTAGCATGTATTAAAAAATAAAATAAAATAAAATACTAGGGATGAAGAAGGCAAGTACATTCATCACATGATCTCATACTAATTTTTTGGAAAAATATTTGTCCACCTGAGTTTCAAGTAAAAGCTCTGCAAAAAGCGAGATACTAATTTTTTGTCAAACTGTTTCCAAGGTCAAGAATAAACATCACTGCTCATATATGTGGAGCTGGATGAGAAGTCAGAATAGTTGACAAAATGCTATTCTGTTCTTATAAACTGTCAACAAAAAACAGCTTCCCTGTAATTGATTTTTCTTTTAATCTGAATAGAAAACACAGTAAATACAAAAAATCTTAAAAAGAAAATGTCAGCCTATAATTGCCATACAGAAGTAAAAGATGTAGAAAATATGCTGTGTATTGAACAAATATGTTCACAGTTTTTTTCAGATTCATGGTCATTAAACAAATGCAGGACAGAACAAATAATAGTCATTAAATCTGATTCAGTTGTAGCTGCTTTTCCAATAAATATAAGCAGGGCCGAAGCCAACAACACAAGAATCCTCATAATGAGAAAAATAATGAAAATGTCAACACACACATTTTTTCATCAACAAACTTCATAAGACATTATTTTCATGAATGAAGGCATCAGTTCGGATTTGTCATTTCTTCCTTCGATGTTGAGTCTTTATATCCTCCACTTCTTTCTCCATCAGGTGGTACTCCACGGTAGTCTCTGTCAACTAGAACAGAAAGATTAAATATCAGACAAACACAAGTTTATTCAAGGTCACTGCATCATTCAATTAAACATTTCTACCTCAGTGTATAAATATGCATATCGCATGTTATTAAGGACATAATCAAAACTGTTCAGATCTTACCATGTCCAAGAGAATTTCAATCTTTAGTTTCAGGAGGTTGTTCTCTTCCTCTAGCTGTGTATTTCTTTTCTTAAGCCGCTGCAATTCCCTACCAGATGCATTTCCACCAGATTCTGGTTCAACAAAAACAAAGATTCCATGTTGTGTTGGCCATTCAACCAATAGTGATGTAGCAGACATTGCAATGCACGCAAGAACAAGACAATTATGAGGTTCCCTGCATTTAAACTGCAGAGGGAGACACTGCACTGTTATACTGTTATCATAGTCATTACCTGTTATCCACTGTCCATCTTCAAATTTCCAGTTCTGACCTCCAATGTTCATCACAGGAGGTCCATACTCAAGGCCCAGCTCTACTTCTCTTGTGGAACGATCCAACTAAAAGAGGTGAGAAGGTTAAAAAACGATAGATCAGTCTGCATGCACATCAAATAAACAATAGCTAACACAATGTCAAGCTGCAGTGCACTGTTCAGGGTTCATACAGATTTTTAAAAATAAAATTCAAAGCACTTTTCAAGGTACCTAAACCAAAAATGACCAGACTCTGGAAGCCTTTTTCATCATTGTTCCAATCTGTATTGTCCCTTGATGGGAAATTGGATTTAAAGTAGAAGGCAAAGACACAAACACAACACACAGGAGGACATGGGACATTAATCACAACAGTTACAGCATCTGTTAGTTAAAAGTATCAAACCGTGGGAATGGTAACTATTATAAAGTGTTGCTGAGCAGTGCAGCCCAGACACATCACAGAACATCTACAATCTTTACTAAAGAAGTTTACTGTAAGTGCATTTGTGAAAAATAAAGTTGACAGAAAATAACACAACATACATTGATTGTTGATTTATACAACCACAACAATGTTCCCAGCTGTTCGTATAAACTTTGAATGTATGCATGTATGTATTGTATGCTTTATCATGATTATTTAATGCTTGTGGGTTCCACATCTCAGATGTCTCAAAACACGTCTTTTAATCCATTTGTATTTATTTATCCTCTAGGTCGGTATCTCCTCCGATCAGTGTAGACTCAATAAGGGATCAATGAGATTTAATTGAACTTACCCATCAGGGCACTTCATCGAAACAGTGACTTTACCACAGCGATGCTACCAATGAACATCAAGTTCTTCAAACTCACCGTGTGAAGGCTGGACAGAGATGCAGATTTGCGAGGTGGAGTCTTCTTCGGACTAAATGTGTTTCCAAAGAGCGGCATCTTTAGTGACTTTTTAAGGTCCTGTGTAAACGATGATACACCAGTGGTGAGATTAGTATTTTATAAACAGCAGTGTCAAGTAGCCACAGTATGTTTATCAATGGCACATTACCGAGCTAATGCTAGGTGGCTAACACTCGCTATGTGTGAGTACTACTCATACCTGACATTTAATTGAAACTGTCGACTGCCTCACAGGTGGGTTAGTAGCTGCTGTGTCACTTAAAACATATAGCTCATATAACGTTATTTACCTCCATACAGACTATTTACTTAAATTCTTATCGTGGTGGTTGAAATTCTTTTCTCTCCAAACACAACCATGCTTGCCACTGCGCATGTGTGAAGGGTCCATTTGGTTAAAACAGACAACACTGTGAAATATCACACGGCGTTAACATAAAGCATTTGGAATGGATTTGCTAACAGCAGCAAGATTAAGACTTTGTAAGAGCAACGAGGCGCTTGAATGTTCTTCCTAGGATTTTGGATGCACAAATAAACAGTCAAAGTCACATTAGGATAACATAAACACCCCTATGTAGGTGAGATAATGGAACCATCCATGTAACGTAAACGCATCACCATGGTGATCGCGTCACTCGGCCTTTCCGAGCGTTAAACAATAGCGATGTCCATATTGTGTATTCACAAATAGTAAAAATGTTTCAGGAACATAACTTGCAAAAGTGAGGTTTTAAGAAGTAACTCCACAGCTGAAACCATGTCACTGTAGTCCGGATATAAATATGTGTGACCCCGCCCCTTCTGTACACAGCCCCAGTGGCCTAATGGATAA